AGTTCTGGCACTTCTGATCTTCATTTTATTCACTGCCTATCATATTCTAATCACAGTCGCCTTAGTTAGGTCACTTGAAACAGCGTCCTGACTCCATTAAGGATGGTGCTTGGAAAATTTGACTTACTCATCTATTAAATCACATTTTATCCTTCTTTTGGGGTTGCCCCAGGATTCAGTTTTCTCTGAGAACAGGATTGGCCCAGCTTCTCACTCAAATATGTCTTCCCTTGGAGGCTACTGTGGGCAAAGTGTCGCCTGGTCCCTGTTAGTTACCCTGCACTGGTGGTAGGCATGAACACAAGCTACTGCAGCCTTCTGCTTGCTGTAAATCTAAGGGCCGCTCAACTCAAGCCTCAAGGAGGCAGAAGATCAGGAGGTGAACAGTTGACTCTCTAATCCTGATGCTTTGTTTTTGGTTCTGCTTGTGAACCCTCGTGTCTGAATTTACAGCATGATTTGGGGGTGCCGAGTTCCACCGATCCCCATTACTGCCCCTGGCCTGAATTACTCTTGAATTCTGCTGCACTTGACTGGTAAGCTGTCAGTGGAGTTTGCTGCTCCCCTGAGGCCATTATGCAGCATCTTCTTCAGGGAGTTAGAACGTCAGGGAACTCATATCTCTTGCCACCCACCCCCCCTGCCCCCCAATCCCCACCTCCACCTCCACCCTCCCCTGCCCTGAAGTTCCTCTCAACATTCCTCTCAGACTGTCTGCCATTCTCTCCCGGCCCACCTCCCACATGCTGACCTGGTGCATTCATAAATAGCTAGCTAGGCTCCTTGAACAACTTCTGTAGAAGCTTAAAGGTGACATCCTTTGCATCTCTAGAGATTTTATATTCTTCAAAGCACTTCCAGCTGCATATCATCATTTGATCCTCACATAAAACTCTCTGGGTATTTAGGTTAGGTATATTATCCGGATTTCACCGATGAGGAAACAGAGACAGTGATGAGGAATTGCCTACCCTCAGGTACTTAGTTACTGTGGAACTGCTATTAGAACACAGCTTGGTTTTGGTTAGTGAGTTTGTTTATTCATTCATTAATTCACACACTCATACTGAGAGGCAGCAGAATGGAAAGAGCAAGGGTTTCGGCGACAAACTTTGGTTTGAAACTTGATGCCAAATTATTAGCTGTGTGATCTTGGTCGTGCACTTAGCCTCTCTCTCAGAAGATCAGTTTCCTGATTGGTAATATGGGGGAAACTATATCATGTTTATATGTGATTTAACAATCCATGAAAAATAGTGCCTGGCATATGGTAGATTATAGGTAAAATGTTACTATAAATATATAATATATAAAATAGGTTACTAGTGTAGGTAAAAATGGCCAAACATTGACAATTTTATTATGGTAGAAACTCAGCAGCTACCATTTATTGAGTCCTTCCTTATTGTACGTATCCAAGGCACTGCTAGGCCCCAAGAATTGCAAATACAAGTGAGGCAAGGTTTTCTTGTGTGTCTGTGTCTTCTACTAGACTGTGGTCCTGGAGGGTAGAACCTGTCTGCGTTATATCCCTGACACCGAGAACAATGTCTGCTAGGGAGTGGGTGCTTAATAAAAGTGGGTGCTTTCTGAACTGAAAAGGTCCCTGCCCACCAGGAGATGACCAGCAGTGAAGACAGGCAGATACATAATCATGTACTCTAATTATGGGTATTTAGATAGACACACACAGGCCATGACGAGAGCTGAAGGGAAACGGTGCTCAGTTCTACTGGGGTAGGGGGCACTGCAGTGCACAGGAGGGGGCACAGCTTCATAAAGCAGGTGCCGGAAGACTAACGTGGTCTGTTGGGTGGAAGGGAGCGCCACCAATTAGCTTATCTTGGACTACAAGCTTTCTCTCAAGTAACCCCTTCTAAGGTGTGAAATTGAGTTTGTATTCACAGCACTTCTTTGTCTCGCAGTCCCTCTGTTACTGGTATCTCCCATAATGTATTACTTCATAAAGTGCTTTGCTGTATCCTGAGTATAAAAAGAGACACTCAGTAAAACCAGAGTCTATTCTTCGAGTGTCACGACTAGCCATCGCATAACAAAGTATAATATATTGTGTAAGAAGAAATAGAGGAATGTAAGAGATTTTTTTTTTTTCCCCCGATACGCGGGCCTCTCACTGTTGTGGCCTCTCCCGTTGCGGAGCACAGGCTCCGGACGCGCAGGCTCAGTGACCATGGCTCACGGGCCCAGCCGCTCCGCGGCATGTGGGATCTTCCCGGACCAGGGCACGAACCCATGTCCCCTGCATTGGCAGGTGGACTCTCAACCACTGTGCTACCAGGGAAGCCCTGTAAGAGATATTTTAAGAGACCAAATAAAACATCAGAGTGGGAGAGTGTAGACGGCATTAAAGTCAATAAACAGTCATGGCAGAGTGGACCACTTTTCCATGTGAAGGAACCTGATTTAGTGACTGATGACTGTACGATTCGAATCCCATTGGAACGAAGTTAGCTGCTACTTTTGCCAAATTCTAAATCTTTTGGTTCTCCTTGAGAACCAGTCCTTGAAATTTAACAGATTATTTTTGTTACTGTTTTGCCAATAGCTCTTTGAGGTGCTAAAGCCGTCCGTCTTCCTCAGTATTCAGTGCTGCTGGACTCGATATAGTGCTGCTGGCTTAGAGCTCTGGGAGGAGGAATTTGGGCTCCGGCTGCCCTGCTCAGCTGGGGACAGTTCATCACACGGGTTGCCAGGGCTGTGTAGTCATCCGGTCTCCACAGAGACTCAAAGCCGAGGAAGTTGTCAGGAATAAACTTGGTTCAGATGTGAACCACTGAGCTGCTCGTCTTACTTGCAAGAGAGAGACAAGGACGGTGTTACAGGGCTCCTTCTTGGCAGTGTGGAAGGATGACTACAACAGCAAGGGTTCCAAAATGTTTTCTGCCAAGAACTGGATTGGATTTTTGCTTCCTCAGCCACAAAATGTCCCCAGCATCTTAGCCCCAAATCATTAATGCCCTTTGCAGTCAGTCTGCTCAACCTGGACACTTTCTTACCTTTCTTTGCTCAACACCCTCATCATTATTGTTTGCTTTTTGTTAGCTAAGCTCTCAAGGCTTTTTGATTCCTAATATCTTAACTTTTTTTTTTTTTTTCCAGACAAGCAGGAGATATGAAGCAACATTATCATCCTTGATTACATTCTCTCCCTTTGGAGAAGAATGAAAATCCCTGGTTTTGGTTTCGGGTGCAGTTTATAGACTATTTCCTTGGAGTATAAAAATACTATGTGTATTTTATTTTTTTTTTAATTTAATTTATTTAGTTTTGGCTGCGTTGGGTCTTCGTTGCCGTGTGCGGGCTTTCTCTCTTGTTGCAGCGAGCTGGGGCTACTCTTCGTTGCGGTGCGCGGGCTTCTCATTGCAGTGGCTTCTCTTATTGCGGAGCACGGGCTCTAGGCGTGCGAGCTTCAGTAGTTGTGGCACTCGAGCTCAGTAGTTGCCGTGTGTGGGCTCTAGGGCACGTGGGGCTTCAGTAGTTGTGGCGCACGGGCTTAGTTGCTCCGCGGCATGTGGGATCTTCCCAGACCAGGGCTGGAATCTGTGTCCTCTGCGTTGGCAGGTGGATTCTTAACCACTCTGCCACCAGGGAAGTCCCCAAAACGCTACGTGTATTTTGTATTGGCATGTACCGGCATGCTGGTGTTGTAATATCATTGACCTTGGCAACATAATGTAACTGTTTTGAGCCTCGGTTTCTCCATTTGAGAAATGGGGATAAAATGACTAATTTATAGGGTTTCTAGGAGGACTAAAGAGATTGCAGAGGAGGAAATGCCTAGTACGGTACCTAACACATACCAGATGTACCATAAATGATTATTTAAAACAAATCAATACAATCTAAGCAGGACCAGTTCTATTTCAGTAAGGGGAGCTCTTGGAGAATGGTGAGACATGAAAAGAGAAATGGCCAAGCTTTGTAGAGAGTTGTGTCCTCAGTCTGGTGCAGAGTGTAAGATTTAGGGGCACATGTGGAAGTAAAGAGGCAGGAGGAGTTTGTGGTAAAAGGTAAAAAGTGGTAAACTGCATGCAAACATGAAGTCAGTCATTTCAGAAAGGTCACTAGGTCAGTAATTTAATAGCATTTGTCCAAATCGCCATACTTTGATGCATAAACAAATGGGAATAAAACTATTCCTCGTAATAACTGATGTAAGAGGCAATGTGATGTAAGGCGGATTGACCTGAAACCAGAAGATCTGGGCTCATGTTCATTTCACTTAATTGGCTTATGGTCTCGGACTTCTTAGCTTTTCTGAGTCTTCCCTTCAACATCCATAAAATGGTGATAATAATGTTTTTCTTATTTCCCCCCCGCTGGTTTATTGTAAGGATCGGAGATGTTTTTAAAAGTACTGCCCAAACAACATATGGGCTGTTTTTGATTTAGTATTAAGAGCCGGATGGGTTGCTGAAGAATTTTCAGGCTCTTGTCCACCTTTGAGGTGAATACAAAGTAAAGGCATCAAGAATGGGGGCTTATGTATCTGTAACTTCCTGTATCCAGCTCTTCCAGACCACGTTTTGTAGGTAACCTCTGCTGAGCCCATTTTGCTGCTCACTTTGCCTGGCCTTTGCCATCCCTTGGCCCCCAGAGCAGTTCAAGGATGGGTTGTGACAGGAGTACCGGGGATCTCGCAGCAACAGCCGGACACGCTCTTGGAGACTCCTGTGTTCGTGCGCTTAGTGTGACTTGCCTGGTCCTCTTTCCGTTGTTTGTCCCTGTCTGTTTGCTGCTGATGGCTATAGCAGTAGCATCTTTTAGTGTCTTGCTCAAGGATTTCTGATGCTTTCGGAAGTTTTTTTTCCTCACTCTGCTGTGCAAACACAAGAGATAAGAAACTAGGCTAGAAGATAGAAGCTGGGTTTGATGATCAGTAGAAGGAGATAAGTTCCTTGACTTGCAGTATCCAGCCTCTTCCCAGACAGTCATGTAGTGTGGGGTGTAACGTTACCATTCTCTCTTTGTGTTTCCAGGGAGTCGACGAGTTGAAGATGAAGCCCAGAGCAGAATGCTGTTCCCCCAGGTTCTGGTTGGTGCTGGCTGTCCTGGCCGTGTCAGGCAGCAGAGCTCGGTCTCAGAAGAGCCCGCCCAGCATTGGCATTGCCGTCATCCTCGTGGGCACTTCAGACGAGGTGGCCATCAAGGATGCCCACGAGAAAGATGATTTCCACCATCTCTCTGTGGTGCCCCGTGTGGAGCTGGTAGCCATGAATGAGACGGACCCAAAGAGCATCATAACCCGCATCTGTGATCTCATGTCTGACCGGAAGATCCAGGGCGTGGTGTTTGCTGACGACACAGACCAGGAAGCCATCGCCCAGATCCTTGACTTCATTTCAGCCCAGACTCTCACCCCCATCCTGGGTATCCACGGGGGCTCCTCGATGATAATGGCAGACAAGGTAAAAGGGGGCCGTGGTGAGAAGAGCCTGGGGGGTATGTACTGAGAACTAAATGATGCATTTGTTTGAATGCCAAACTCGATTATGAAAGATGGAGTGTAACCAGATGGTAACCAGAGGTAACCAGAATGCACTGAGTGAATGGATAGACCAGGAGCTAGTCTAGTGCTTTGGAGTTGAAAGTGAGGGAAAGATGCTGGTGCCTAGAAGCTCCTTTTGTTTGGAACAGGTTTGTGTGTCCATTTGTTTGTAAATGGATTCACTGAAATGACTAAGAGATGTTGAAGGTTGTAGCTCGGTGATACATTTTCTTCAAATACGTGTATGAATACCTCCTTCAAAACTTTAGAAAAGGTGTGCTCTATTCTTCCTCGATAATACATGTTCTCCCCCCATACCAGTTTCAAGAATATAAAAAGCAAAATTCCCTGAGGCAGGTAATTTGTCTCCTTGAAGATTCAGATATCCTAGAGAAGTACTTCTTGCTAAGGTGTCCAGGCTCAACACGCATCCCATCTGCACATGTGAATGGATTTTAATCCATAGAACCAGTTGCAGCTGTGTTTTCCCCAGGCTTAGATTTGAAGGCAGTGGTTCTTAACCTTGACTGCACATTGGAATCACCTGAAGAGCTTTCAGCACAACCATTGCCTGGGTCCCACCCCTAGAGGTTCTGGAGCACAGCCTAGGCTTTAGGAGTTTTAAAAGCTCAGCAGGTGATTCTCGTGTGCAATTAAGGCTGAGAACCACTGCTTTAAGGCCGCAAATAAATCATAGTCTCTCCTACACTAATATTAGATTGTCACATGACAAAGTAATTAGCATGTGACATCGATGCTTATTCTCTGACTACAGGAAAAAGTGTTTTGTTTGTAGTTATGTTTTGTTTTTACATTTTTCACTTATTCGGTTATTTTTCCTTGCTTTGTACAATGAAAGTACAGTACTTTTCACGTACATATTGTCTTTGCAGTCATTCATACCTTAGAATGATCCATTTCACAAATGCAATATTTGTTGTGTATCACTTTGGGTTTCTTAAATTGTTTCTACTTTTGCATTGTCATCTTATACTTCTTAGTGTCACTTTCAAAACCTCCTTCAGTGTTGTACTGAAAAGACGTGCTGTGGGCTTAACGATGTTTGCAAACACCTCAAAACCTAGCACAGACGCCACAAGCGTGCTGCTTGGCCAGTTGAGAACCACCAGGCCACAGGGCTTAACAGAGTAAAATAAGCTTGCGTGATCACTATCGCCATCTGTCGGCAGCAGGCAGAGATGTCTGTTTCGGAGCTTCCTTTGTTCAGTCTATAGGAAAAGTCAAGTGGAGAGTACTGAGTGCAGGGACTTCATGCTTTCAGTAGCATATGAGAAGGCTGTTGTCCCATTCGCATGGGTAAAGGCACAGGTAAGGATGTTAGAAAAAATGCTGCCCCGAGGAGCCCATGCTAAGGGAAGTGGGATAAACTTGAATAGAATGGAGAATATAGGTGGACTTGGCAAAACCTAAGGAGTGTTTGCTTCAGGTAGATTTTTTTAAACATCATTGCCCTTAGCAAAGTATATTATATTTTAGCAGTGGTATTTTGAGGGCACAATTTGCATGGAAAGAATGCCAAGATGGAGGAGCCCAGTTTTTGAATCATAAATAAGTGCAAACTTACTTTGAGAGCAAGTCCGGTGAAAATGATTGATTGATTGATTGATTTAGCGTCTGTGGACTCGTGCACAGCCTGTTATTTCAGGCTCACCCCTCCGCCCATCCCAGTGTAAAAGGTTGTTGGCTAAACTGGTTGGTTGCTTCTCTGCTGTGTCTCTTACAAATGCATAATAACAATATAAGAATCTGAAGAATGACGCAGGCCACGTGGAGAGACCGGGCTCTTTTGTTCAGTGATGTGTCCTGGGTGCTTCAGAGTGTTTACCGTGTGGTGGGGACGTACTGCTTTGCCTGCGCTATCTTAGTTAGTATGCCTAACAGCCCAGTGAGCTAAGTGGTATCACTTATCTCCATTTAGCAGATGGGGAAGCTGAGGCTCAGAAAGCTTAAATAACATCCCAAATTATGCTGCTAGGAAGTGGAGTCCAGGACTGGTTGCTGGCTCCACAGACCATGTGCTTGATTGCCTCTCAAGAAAATGGAGAGGGGGGTTAAGGTCTCTCATACCTTCCTCTTCTTTACTTTCTCCTCTGTTACGTAGCACTGTGGCAAATGTTATCAGCCTAAAAGTGAAGCATCGCTTGATTCATTATGGCAATACCGGAATCTGACTAGAGGAGAGGATTAATGAGCTATGAAATGGTGGAGGCCTAGGTGTAGTCTAATTCTACAGGGGGCCCCTTGGCTACCAGTTCCAGGGGTCAAATGGAGGATGGAAGCCAGTAAGGGGGATTTTTCCAGGTCATTGTAACGAGATCCCCCTCTGGTCTCCTCCCCCTTCCCCCTCCCCCCACTGCAACCACACCCCAATATCCCATCTTATCTTTTCCTCTCTCCATCAAAAAAAGGAGGTAGGCAATGATTGTTAGGCACTTTGCTAAAATGGCCTAAATAATATCTAACTGACTTTGGACCTGAAAAGAAGAGTTACTGAAAGGCAGGTAGAAAGAGGAGAAAGAAGAAAGAAGCAAGCAGGAGGTCCTGGTGCCACAGAAGCGGGAGTGTTGAAGGCTCAGTCACGGGGTGGGAGGCCTGGATGGGTGGGGGGCGGCTGCAGGGGATGGGTGGGGCAGCAGGAGGAACTGCCCCCTGGACCTCTGGGATCCAGAGGGCAGCAGCACTGAGATGCTGGGCAGCTGTGCAGAGGGATGTTCGCAGGCCTAAAGGACCAGCCAGAAGGCAAATAAAAAGTCCCCCAGAAATCAGAGAAATAAGCTTTGGGGGCAAGTTTCAAAAATAAAACACCTCAAATTCTAAGGCCAGCTTTTTTATTTTTTGATAGAAGTTATTTTTAGTACCATGACTGTATCTTACCAACATAGAATGGGGACACAGAGTTTGACAACTCTGAATCCACTACGGGCAATAGGACAACACGTTTGAAAGCGGAACTAATGCAGAAAATGTAAGAAACACAGCTTTGCTGTGTTTAAGGCATAGTCTTGAAGGTACAGTCGCCACCCGAAGGATGGTGAATAAGCCTTCCATTTTGCTTCCTCCTTCTACGAGATAGGTAATTGCCACTCTGTTTTGACTCAGTTGTTTTTTGTGTGTTTCAAATAAAACTTACTAAGTGTCCTTGTGGAAGATTGGTTTACAGGGAGGAAATACCTGATTCAAGGAGTTCGTGATGGAAGAAAGGTAGCACAGTTAGTTACAGAGACTTTTTGGCAAAAGTAGGGAGACATAGTTCAGCATCTGATCAAATAGATTACGCTCACTTTTTTGCTAATGCTAATTAATGTGCTAATTAATCAATACAAACATTAATTAGTCTCCACTTTCCCACTGAGGAAATGCACCTTGTACCATGGCAGAAAGAAGCATGGGAGCTGATAGAGCAGAGCTGTTCTAAGCTCAGAATTCGGACTCAGAGCAGTTTTAACCATCATTTCCTAGACGTGGGGATCTGGACAACTTACCAAACCACTTACGCTAAACCTTGGTTTTCTTGTCTGTACCATGGGGATAATCATATATCCATTATAGGGTTGTTGAAGATTAAATGAGGTAATACAGAGCAGCTGCTTCACTAAGTGTCCAGCACAGCATTCAGCAGGCTGAGCTGAAGGTTGTATGGAGCAAGTCTGAAGGAAAGAAGGCTTCATGAGACAGGAGAAGCACGGAAAGGAAATAGGGTCACAGCCAAATAGAGAGGCGCTTCACAGCTGGAGACCAACCGAGAAGGGAGCTCAGGTGAAAACCGGGGGAAGGGCTCTGAACTGTGTTGGGAGCTTTGCTCTTGTCCCACCGGGGAGGCCAAGGCTCATTGGTGGTGTAGCCGCTCCAGGGCCAAAAAAGGGCACATTCAGTTAAGGAAGAACTCTAATAAGGAAAGAACTGCTCGCGCTTGTTGCAGAAGACCGTTTAGAACAGTAACGGGGCCCATTTAAAAATGCATGAGGCGGGCTTCCCTGGTGGCACAGTGGTTGAGAGTCCGCCTGTCGATGCAGGGGACACGGGTTTGTGCCCCGGTCCGGGAAGATCCCACATGCCACGGAGCGGCTCGGCCCATGAGCCATGGCCGCTGAGCCTGCGCGTCCGGAGCCTGTGCTCCGCAACGGGAGAGGCCACAGCAGTGAGAGGCCGGCGTACCACAAAAAAAAAAAAAAATAAATGTATGAGGTGATTTTTGGCAGTTCCCCGCCGAGTATAAAGAGTCCATTTTATTTTGCCTTTGTTATAATTGCTTTTATTCTCCCTGAGATCCTGGATTAGGATGCCCGTCAGAATCCAAATGATGAACTAAAGCGAGACATACTTTCATTCCTTTGCAGGAGATTTCTCTGCTGATTTGCTGAACCCTTTCTTGGGTTTTCAGATTTTAGCTCAGAGAGGTTAAGTAACTAATCCAGGATATTACAGCTTACGAGCAGTGGAACTGGGATTCAGATCCCGAAGTACCTAGTTTGAAGCCTGCGCTTTCTACTTATGCAGTTCTGCCCCACAAAGCACTGCTCTAAGAATTGTAAGTCCTGTGTTTCAGTCTCCATTCTCAGGAGCTTTGGAAATTTAGGCAAACAAATCACTGCAGCTACATGATGCTCGGTTTCTAGTTTATAAGTGTTCAATTTTGTTTTCTGCCCTACGCACTTTACAACATTTTGAAGATAAAATAAAATAGTTGGAAAAATGCTGGGCAAACAGATACTTTAGGTGAGCCAATTAAAAAGTGGGGACAGGGAATGACAGTCACTGAAAACTATTTTGTCACTAGCATTAGGGCCGATGAAAATGGCTTGGGCAGGTGGTAGGAAGGAATACAGAAAGTGGAAGTTACAGTAGGATCAGGCAAAAGGGTGGAAGACCCGAGCTTTAATGCTGCAGAAATGGAAGAGA